GTTTCAATCACAATGCAGTGCTGTGTAGATTGTCGGCCTGCCTTGCCTGGAAGGCACGTGTGACTTACCCGGACGCTTATCTGCAAGGGGACTGCAGGTTGAGATGGATGGATGGCCTTGCTTTGGGGTTGTGGGCAGGATGGCATGGTCTTGACTTGCTAAGAAATTCCAGGTTCCAAGAGGCACCCTTGAGCCCTTGGGCTTGCCCCACCCTCTCCAGACTCACTGATGGATGGCTTGTAGTCTGCAGACGTCACCCAGATCTTGACTAGCTCCTACAGAATCCTGGAAAAGTCCAACCATCCCTCAGATTGCTTGAAGCCCTCCAAGGGGGATCTGAAGCCGAGCAGCGAGCTTTCAGTTCTTGGCCGCGACGGCAAACAGGATGTTCGGGCCTCACGGGGAGACGCTGAGGGGCTAGCGAACAGATTTGGGCTACGATTTTGCAAGGCTTGCGCAAAGACAGGTCATGTGAATGAGTGAATTACATTTTAGTGGATGCAGCAGGCTGCATGAACTGTCCCTGCAACAGTTCACTGCCAGGAGTTCGGAAGGTAATTAAAACCTTTGGTCGCCGCTTCAGCGCCACTAGAGCTATGGTTACATTCGGAGTAGGCCAGGGGACTCTAGTGTCAGGCTTAGGTGAAGAAGAGGTCCAGTAGCCATGGGTGCTCTCAGGGTGGTGGTGATGACGGTCCCGGTGGTAGTGCAGCATTGCTGGTTGGCGGCATTGCGCCTAGATGATGGTGATGGAAGAGGTACTTCGAGATGTAGTTGTAGTCGCGGCGCCTCAACAAGCAAAGCTTCCAGCAACACATGGAGTTTGAAGCAGATCAGGGACTGAAGCAATGCAGGGAACTTCGAACGTAAGGTTGAATGAAGCTCTGGGATAACCGGGCCAAGCCTATGGCTGGACGATTGTTTCAGCTTCAGGGCTTGGAGCATTTCGCCAAACTATCTAACACGTCTCTCCAAGGCTCTGTTTTTTTTGGCCTTTCCCCTAGTGGGCCTTGTGGCGTGCAAGCTTTGCAAAAACCATCCCAAGAAGAGTTCAACCTTGCCTTAGGCGTATAGTCATGGATCCCCACGCTGGCCGCTATATCATCCCAGTGAGGTAGCATGATGTAGAACAAGCAGCAAGTTGCCTGGGTCAGGTGGTCTTGAAGTCTGTTTGTGGCTCCGGCCCTGCAGAGGCCTGTGAGTAGATAGGGGCCTCGGTAGCAGGGTCTGCGGTCAGTAAGGTACTTCTTTTGTTACAGCACTTGTCATCTTGTAGTCAGTGCAGATAGGTACTCAAGGCATGGTGGTGGTGATGATGATGCGCCCATGTTGAAGTTTGCGTTGATGATGCCAACGCTCTTGACCGCACATGTGGGACTGCGGTGTTGATAGTTCAATTGCCACGAAGCCATTGGTGCTGTTTTTTTTGAACTATGGCTTCTATGGTTCCATTCCTATCAGCATTCTTGTTCTGGCTGCTGCTGCTGCTTCTGCTGCTGCTGCCGCGGCTATGGCATAAGAAGTAGGAAGTGTGACTTTTGCATCTTGCCTTGGGCTTGGGACTGCATGCTGGCTGACGATGAGACTCAATGCCATTTTGCAGAAGTGGCCAATCCCACTTTGTGAGACACCAAGCCACATACACAAATTGCAAGCGCTTGCAAGAACAGTCAGCCTGCATTTTCATTCTTGCTTTGCACCTGGCACGTTCAGTCTTTGCAGCTTTGGAACCATAACCCGTTTGCTTAAGGTTGCGGAGGGTATTCCATGTAATCCGGAGAATGAGAATGGGATGAGCTTCGCAGCTCAGACTTACCGCCTGAGCTTCGGCTCTTGGACACGTTTGATCTTGGTTTATTCAGATTGCATGCTGCCGTTTCAGCTCAAAACTGCGCCGTAAAGTTCGGATGCACTTCGGGGTCAAAGCAGGGTTCATGCAACTGTCGTACAGTTCCTTTTCGGACATGTGCCAGGGCCGCCCCTACAAATCAGACGGATACCGGGTACCGGAAATCAGCTTCAGGCTTTACATTGGTACTCACAGATTACAGATAGGTCTGGAGCATGCTCAATGACCGACAAGGAGGAGGTGCTTCGGCTGCTTGTGCTGGCACGTGTGTGATAGGGGTGCAGAGCAAGTCTCAAGTACATGTGAGCCATAGTCTAAACTCCTTAAAAGGGGTTTATAAGGGATACTAGGGAGTATAGCTCATATGATGCTGATGATGGTCCTTGCATGCACGCATAGCCTAAACGACCGCATGGTCTCGTGACACCTCCGCAGGGAGCCCAACTAGTGGTCCGAATATGTGGCATATTTAAGTTGCACAAAGTAAACCCCTAAAAGGGGTATTCAAGGAGAATGGCACAAGATGAGGTTGAAGTTCGAATCTTCAGAGAATTAAATGACTTTAGTATTTAGTGTTTTCTGATCAGGGACACACACTTGCCACTTGCGTGGCAATAAGCATCACAAAGGAATCCTCGAAGTCAGGTTCAAGGTTCCAGGTATCCTGTATGCCTTATATGGGGGTATTGTTTCTGTGCCATTCTTTCCCCCAGAAGCCCTTATATGATCCTGTACGGCCCTAGACCCTTAACAGAAGATGAGATGGGACTTGTCAGGTGGCAGAGCGCCTGAAGCATCAATTTCGCAAGCTGGACACCAACCGTGCCTTAGCTGCTGCAAACCGATGTGGGGGTTTCTGAAAACCATGGGTCCCATTTTAGGTGTCCCTTTTACAAGGAAGGGAACGCAAATTTTGTCATTTCGTAATGTAAAGATAACTATGAAGAACTATTAGTAGTTCGAAATTTCAGGTACTTCTCCTGCCGGGTGCTTGGTGCGGAGAAAAGGAAGGGGTTATTGGGATCATTGCTGGGAAGGATATTGGGACTAATGCAAGGATCTATCCCTTCAATCTCTACAGCCTAGTTTTTATAGTCCCCATAAGCGATTCCCTCATTCCACGCTGTCAGCATGACATCTCTCAGAGGCATGGTAGACAGAGACATTTCCCGACTTCAGTTTTGTGAGGCGACGGCCTCCTCGACAAGAATGAGTTGCACGCATTGCTGCTGAAGGGCAGCCCCACCTTCACGGAGGAGGAGCCTCATGTTGAAGTTTTGGCTGACACTTGCCTCTTGTCCACGTTGCAGTAGGGGGTGACTGTCTTCCAGATCCGTTCCTGCAACATTTCGCCAGGAGGTTTCGCTACTTTTTATGCAGATCAGCAGGAACCTGGGCTTTCAGAAAGACAAACAATCTAATCTGGGAGTCCAGACTATCTGTTCTGTCCAGGGCGCATGTGCGCCTCCGAAGCGGATGTAGAACAATTTGAGGTTGCTTTCATGCTGCGCCTGAGCTGGTGACTCCGTGCATGGAAAGCACCGGACCTGAACACATGCAAGCATCGCCTCACTCGAGTTTCTTATTTCCTCAGAGCTTCAAACTGCAGGAATGATGACAAGGCAGCCTGGCCCAGTTCTGGCACATGGTAGTTTCCACAAATAGGGGGGACCCCAAATTTTTCACCAAACTTCTATAATCCTTATTATGGAGATCCCTGAAAACTACCCCTGATCTGGGAAACCTTGAGCCCTAAATATCCCTATATATCCCTTATATAACCTCTATGTATCCCCTATATACCTCTTGTAAATGCAACCCTGATTCTGGGAAACCCTCAGATGCTTTCTAGCGACTGTAAGCCAGTCGGCCAGCCTATCGCAGCTATGATTCATTGTCTTTACCTTACAATAATCATTGCTGTTACTATTACTTTTATTAGAATATGAAATAACAGCTACTTGTATTCTTCTTATAAATATTGTTATTATCATCATTATTATTACTGTTATCATTACCATTCCAGCCCATAAAGTTCTGCCAATGGGGCCCTTGCAGAACGTCTGATGTACTCCTCTCATCAGGTAACGTTTGATGAGTTTGTGGACTACATCTACGACAGAGAGATAAGGCAGCCGCAGAAAGAGCTGAGCTACTGGGAGAAGCCCGGCCAACTGTAAGTATTACTGGTAGTATTATTGCCATTTCGGATCCCTGGGGTTCATCATCAAAGTAATACTTGCCGTGGAGACAAAATAGGAAGCACAAGGAGAATGTGGCCTTAGATGATGACAGAAAATTGTGTCAGGAGCCCTCAAGTCCTCCAGGGTAGTGAGGCCATGCGTCGTGGTTCTCCATCCCAAGTGGAGGACTTGGGTTCGTAAGGAGTTTGCGGCAAGTCTGTTACCCAGGAAGAAGGTGGAAGAGATGAAAAGGATCTCGGACGCCCATATGGCGGAGGCGGGGAAGATCACTACAGCACTTTGGAACCCATCTTCATTCAACTACAAAAATCAATGTGTCTTACAGCTAGACAAAGCCTACAGCTCGCATGTTTCTGGACTGCTGGCTTCTGGGCTGGGATGCAGTAGGCCAAGCAAGTCCATGGCCAAACCAAAAACCCTGCACGCTTCGCCTTACCGGTCACGGCTCTGTTCGTCGTGAGGTAGACCGCGTTTGGTTCCGTGGAGCGTTTCTCCATGAGGACCTGACGCCCTGCTGCAGATGGATAAGGTACTCCACGACGTGTTTCTAGGCTTCAGACGGATCCGAACCACCACAACAACTAGCAATCAAAATAATGATATCCAGGATGCCATGATTTTCCAGTGCTGCTGCTATGTTGGGCCCAGCCTTCACGGCGAGTAGCTCAGGAACGGTCCCTTCTCGAAGGCTGGGGCCTTCTCGTGTGCTGCTCACTTGTCCTGCGCAAATACGAAGTTGTGAGGTGTCAGGGTTTTCTTTCCGCAGGATATTTGGGGGCTATGTAGAGAAGTCTTGATGGGCCCTAGTTATTCCCGTAGGGTAAACTGAGAAAGGACCTTTCGGCAAATGTTCGGCTTTGTGGCACAACACTTTATCAACTTCACCTGGCCTAACCCTGCATCCTTGCGGAAAAGGAGTGTAGTCCCCCAGCCCGCAGGCCGACAGGATGTTCAATGACCTTCCCGTCTACGAGCGAGGGTATCCTGAGGCTGGGGCAGTTGTTGTGGCAGCAGCATGGGAAGTGTGTAGTGTGCGGGCTAGAGGGCTGGTAATTGGGACCTGTGTGGGAATCGTGCCGCAAGTTGTGCCCTGAGTAAGGCGAACATCTTTTATGGTTGGACAGAAGACGGCAAGAAACAAGGCCAGCGATGGGAGCAGTGAACTGTGTCGGCTACCACAGAGTCGCTCTCTTTCATCAGCATGACCATTTTTGGAAATTGCTTTTTACAAAGTCCCTGCTCAGGTTGGTTCGTGGCCTCTCGAGTCCCAAAGTCTGGCTCGGTGAAGCGCTACAAGCCACCCGCCGTTCTCAATGTATCTCTTGACTGAGTATGGTCCATCGGGCTCTCATTTGTTCCACGGCACGTTGAGATGCTCCAAGCTATCTTTCCCCAGCCATCCTCACCATAGTGCAGGCAATTGCCAGGATGTTGGACAGTGTAAAGCTGCAATCCTCCGTAGCAAAAGATTGTAACAGACTATTCCTGTGTGGATAGTGCAGCGGAAGATCTTGCGCTCAAGACTGGTTAGACTGCTCTGAGCGGAGCTGAGGATGTTTAACCCTTCCAGCCATGCTGCAGGAGCTGAGTCGGTGCTACTTAAGACATCCACTTCAACTTTCTTGAGATCCAAACTAGTATAGAGCACTCTGCTGATGACAAGAATGACACTGATATCACCAAGGAGCATGGCATGCAACGATGCATCTAGCTGCAGCTGTGTTCACAGACATCATTATAGACCTGTTGCAGCACCGTGGCATGGTGTCATCCAACGCAGCGATTCGACTTGTACATAATTCTATCTTTAATTACGGCAAAGTGGCCAGGACCACATCTTTGCACTGCAATTTGGCGGAATCCGTCCGGAAAGCTGGACTGGGGCTCATCGAGTGCAGGATAAGATTGGAGGTCTTAAGAAATAATGGGCGTCAGGTTGTAGCACTGCAGGAAACCGATCCACTTGCGGGAGGGAACAGCATGATACAGCATGTATACCAATCCCCAATGGGGTGCCGCTTCACCATAGAAGCTGCCAGTTTGAGCCGAAAGGTTTGGAGTCAGGTGCTTGCGAGCTTGGGGGCATTGGATTTCCGATTCCTTCTTGGCAGGATAAGCGCCTCTTCTGCATGGCAGAGCGCCGTGAGGCCTGGGAAGAAACAGAGGCTCGGTTACTGTATTGTCGGTGCAGATTAACGATCATATAGCTAAGCTCATCTCTGAAGATGAGCCTGGAGTCATCCAGGTGACGGCTTGAGCAGACATGCATTGGCCGCAGGTAATATACCCCAACCTTGATTCCTATTACCACCTCCTGATCCGCTCTCCATGACCAACTAAGGAAGAGGGCTTGTGCCTTGGCAAGCAACATTTGAGGGCTGAGATTTGCAGAAGAAGAAGTTCCATGCATTCTGCCGTTCTGGCTCCTCTTCTTTGCTTCTGAGTTCAGGCGTTCTGGTGCAGTCACTTTTGCAAGGCGAATCGACTCAGATCCTGCGCAAGTATCCTTTTAGTTTGCTTTTTGAACGGCTGGATGCCCAAGGTGTTTGGAGCTTAGGGAGCTCTGGGATGGGGTTCCCGAGCAGTTCCAGGCATTTGAAGCACAAGCTGCAGCAAGCTGCAGTCGGCGGATCCGACTCGTTGAGATACAAGGGGCATTGGTTTGGGTGTTGGACTAAGACACCGCGGCCAGGTTGACGAATCTATGCACGACGCCTTGGAAGATGAGTGGGAGCTCCTTGCTGCAAGAGAGGGTAGCTGACGGTCGTTGGAATGAGGAGGGTTTTGAGGAGCTCGTCGTCTGCTTCCGGTGCGTGAGAGGGAGGTATCGTATCGTTGATCTTTGGTTTGAGTGGGCGTTGCAGTCTCTTGGTTGAAGACATATTTGCACTTTCTTGGAGAGAGCTTGGAGTTGCCTGGCAAACAAGACGGAGCCACGCATGTTTTGTGCCCCATGTCGTGCAGTCTCAGCTAGGCATGAGTGGCAAGAAGAAGCTGGAGAAGGTGTGGAGGAGAGTGGATGCTTCATGCAAGTGCGACGGAACTTCAAACCGGCTATGAACAACTTGGCTGCGCTGCTCAGAAGCACCACTCAACAGTTGTCTTTTCCATCATGCAGATGAGCATGGCAGCAGCATGAGTATCTCGTGAAACAGACGCTGCAGCCTGAACTAACTTGAGCAAGAAGCTGTAGACACATGTCGCCACCTGCAGGACTTCGGCCCGGAAGGATACGAGCTGATGTATGAGGGCGGTGAGGCCCTGCATATGTGGGCCGTAAGAGGGCGTGCTTTTATTCGCTTGTGTTGATAGCTCGGCCTCAGGGATTGGGGCGGGGCTGGGGGGAATCTGCTAGGAGCCGGCACCTGACGATGACTTCGCTGAGGCTCGAGGGCATGTCCAAAGCAGTCAGAACTCACGTTTGTCTCCATGGGCCACTAGAGAACAGGCCAGAAGCCGGCCACTTTTGTAGCTGCAGGGCAAGCAGGATGAGGCAGCTAAACTGAGTACGAAACCTGATTGTAGAAAACCCCTCTATCCAATCCCTATCTTTTTGGCAGAGCCCCACGAATTCATGCTGCTAACGATCAGGGTCGTCGCCAGTGTGATTGTCTTCCTAGCGTGCAGCCCAGGTCTGGGAGGATCCGCACTTCCCGCCGACGGCAAAGTCCGTTGGTAGTTCTGAAGGGTGGGACGACTGGAAACGCGTTTCGCAGATGCACCCCCAGGCAGGCCAAGGTGCTGATTTTCTCAAGGTTCACCTAAGGTATGGAGCTCAGAGGAGCTAAAGGTACTATAGTCTAAACTCCTTGAAGAGAGGTTATGTAGGGGATTATATAGGGGACTATTATGGGGGCTATTAAGGGGGATACTAGGAGTTTAGACAATGGCTCATATATCGCAGATGCGGCTGTTGGGTTTCTTTGTGTAGCCATGCTCGAACCTGGTTTCTACAGTTGACCTTCCAGTTTGCGTTCCGCGAATTCTTGATTGTGGTTTTTAACAAGGGTCTGCTCCCATCATAGATTGTAAGGTCGAGATTTCCAAAGTCACTTGCACTTGCACGGTATATTTGCATTCAAAAATGTTGTTTGGGTGCTGCCCTAGATAACTTCTGCAATTGAGGAGAGGTGACTTCTGTAGATATCTCTCCAGGAAAACCCCCACCCTCACCCTACGCCCCAAACCGTAAGGCCTAAACCCTGTATATGATTGGTGGAGTGGGGACAAGACCTTTTGCTCGGTCCACATGGATTTTTGCCGTCTGCCGGAAAGGGAGAGCTTTAAAGAAAAACCTAAAGCCCTAAACCCCCACACCTTAAATCCTAAGCCCTAAACCAGTCTTGCAAAGGGGGTGCGTGTAACGCAAGGATTGTATGGGCACAGACCATGAGTTATTGCAAGGTGGGGTGTTTGAAGGGTTAAGGATTTTGATGATCCATGTTTTTAGGGTTTAGGGGTTTTAGGGGAGTTCAGGGTCTAGGATTTTTTGGTTGAGGCAACGTCTCCGTGCAAAGCTTCTTGCGAGAGGGCTGTCAGGGCTGTCTGCTTTTGATGGTGCAGAGAATGCAGTTGCCACCAACGCAGCTTTCAGATACCCCTGGCAGGCACATCTCTTTTGCCGGGTCACTTCGGACGACGCCATCAGCTGCTTGCCAGAAATGAGTGCAACCTAAAAAGCTTTGTGCATAGAAGGCCAGGGATTTACTTGTCCTGCGGATGATTCCACGAAGCCGTATCCGTCATGCCTCAATCGGTGCTATCCCTCACGCTTAGAGCTCGCAGGTGAATGATGACAATATTTCACTTGTAATCTGGCCTGCTTCAGGCTTGCGGCTTCAGGGATACTTGCCCCTCTGAGCCCGAGGTAATGCATTGGCCGGAAATTCCTGGTTCCTCTCTGCCATGGCCTGCATTGCGGAGTCTCTTGGCTGTTTATCCTGCTGACTTTGGTTGACTGAGGTCCCTTGAAGGAGCCGAGTAGCCAGTACTTATGCACGGTGTGCAGGATTTGTAGAGCCTTCCGGTGAAATGAGACGGCTCCCCCAAGCTTGCATGTCTTCCGCTTACTCCATGACTACCAGTAGGCAGCGTAGTTGCTCTAATCGAATTGTGTCATCAGGCGTTGAAGTGTGCGACGTATTGTATACCAGCTCACAAGGGCGTCAATCATGAGGTATCCTGCCTGGATAGTTTCTGCCTTCCGGTGCCTTGGTTGCACTGGAGATGGACGCATGCTTGACTCCAACCTCTTTCAAGCGCACTTCCTACTGTACGCCATTTGCGAGACTTTGAGTCCACCATATACCAAAGGCTCAACACCACGCTCACGGCCAATGGCGCCTATGCAGTACGGTTCTACCATCCAGGGAAGCAGCGATTTCAGCAGCTCGGACTTTCATCAAGATCGCAGACCAATCCTTCCAAGAAGAGTCTTGTCTCTGCAGGGAAAACTTGCGCTAGGTTTGTGGAAATTGATGATCGCATTCCAACGTTGCGGGGAGGCCCTATGTCTGCCGGCGTGCCTGGGCTTTCAGTGCATTTGTTCCTGAAAAGACATGCTTTAGAAGTGTGTTATTGAAGATGTGGTCATGGATCCGGTGTTTGTATCATCCTTGCACAGCACCAGAGGTCACTCCCGAGGGAGAGGTGTGGGTGGCTTTGTTGGAGAAGGCGTTTGCAAAATTCTGCGGCTCCTACAAGCGACGCGGTCGCAGACGCAGCTGTTGCTATTCAACGAGTTGAGTTGCTGAGGTTAGAATGCTGCAGCTAGCAAGGTCCAAAGTGCATAGCTTTGTGAGAGTGCCTAGCTAATTACAAGACACAGGATTCTGGATGTGCGGAAACAGCACAACACCCAAAAGCTCTGAGCAATACAGTTTGACTTCAAGTTTGGAAGTTCTGTTGCCATGATGTTGCCCAGGGCTATCGAAGGCGGATCTGTGCCCTACGGGTTGCTGCTTGGCGGAGAGAGATTAGCCCTCGCGGCGAGACCGACTGCGTAGATTCCTTATTGTTCCTCAAGTGAGACAATCCAGGATGTCTCAACATGTGTGCTTGGCGCCTACTACAGCCTTCTGCTACCTAGTGCGATGGAGCATTAGATTGGCCCTCGAGCTCAGGCTGTACCTTTGCGGGGGAGGCCTCGCAGAAAGCTTTGAAAGACCTGCTGGTGCGGATGGATGGAAGTCTCTTGGCCCGAACTTGCTTGGTCACATATGTTGCTTGTGGTGAGCTCTCAGTGACGCTGCAGGGCTAAGGTCTGTTCAACAGGTTCAAGGTCGGTAGGGAGCTGTTTCCGGCCTGCACACGGGTGGATGCATTTACTTTCCTGCCCAGGCACATCTATACGCAGTGGCGACTGGATCCTGCTTTTAGAACTTTTTCTTCCGTTTGTCTAGAAGTAGCTATGCGGACATTGATGTTCCATTTGGCTGTGCGCCACCCTGAGGCATGGCAAGGAGAGAGACACCATCGACCGAAAACTGGCCGAAGGTGTGGAGGAGGATGGCTTAGTGTTGGATCAGGACTCCACGCCTGAACGCTAAACTCTCCCTCCTGCATTTTTCATTTTAACATCTCCAGCATTTTTCTCATGCCGCTGATCACGTTTGAGTTTGCTACAAGTCTCTTACACGCTGCCACGCAGTACTCGAACAGCGCAGAGTGAAATTTCATCAGGACTCTCTCTGGGCTGTTCTGAGGGAGTACATGGAGCACCTTGTCATCTTGAGAGGGTGAGGTGTCGCTAGGAGTGTTCTTGTTGCTTCTGGCCTTGTTCGGTTTAGGAGGGTTCTCACCTGCTTCTCCACATCAACGCATCGGTTGTCATGTTGCTTTTGACTTAGCCACTAGGTGTTGCCAGTATTGTCGCCAAGACTATTGCCATCGAAACCACTTCCTGATGCGGCTTCGCATTCAGCCTGCTGCAGTACCTTTGACATTTATGGAAGCATTTCTACTCTCGAGACCATTCGATGCAGCGCTGGGGCCTATGTTTGATTTAGCTTGAACAAGAAGCAACCCACAGCCCAAGTTAGCACGCAAAAGATGAAATTACCTTGTCCAACTCTAAGCTACCAAGGTTTTGCTATCCGGTCGCGGCAACGGTCATGCCCGAAACGCTGGAGGCAGAGCCAAGAAGCATAGGGTTCACTTCTTGCCAGGCCGCGGGTTGTTGCATATGTGATGTGTTGAGGAGTCGTCTTAATCCTCAGCAAGACACTGAATCCATACTTCAATAAATCATGCCAGAATCTCTCAAACGCTGGATGAAGAGCCAAAGTGGAGCCCGCAAGCCCTGGTCAAACTTACTGGCTGTTAGTAGGGAAAAAGGGAATATCAACATATCCCCTTACTCCATACTAACCCTGAACCCCTGTATAATATACATATATATATATACCTTTATGTAATGTAATCCCCTTTTCCCTACTAACCTTAACCCTAAACCCTATATAACATATCCCCTTAACATATCCCCTTACTCCGTACTAACCCTAAACCCCTGTATAATATGTACCTTTGGGAAAAACTCTCCACCCTACATATCTATCTATACATACATCTATACATCGACACATGCGCCCTTTTCCCTCCAAACCCTAAACCCTAAACCCTAAACCCTTAAACCCTAAACTCTAAGCCCTTAAACCCTTAAACCCTAAACCCTAAACCCTAAACCCCAACAAAGGGCTCTGGTCTCATGCCGAAGCTTGCCTACTCGGTGATCGGGGCTCGCGAGGTGAAGCTGAAGCAAGGCTGGGCTGTACTGGGATTCAAAAGCGAACCAGGGAATATACATGTATGTATGTATGTATGTATGTATGTATGTATATATAGGCCCCCTTAAAGAGATAGAATATGGCTTTGGGGGTATTATAACAAGATCCCCTTATACCCCAGACTCTATCTACTTTAGGGTTAGGGATGAGTAGGGAATAAGGGAAGAAGAGTTAGTAGCTTGTCATGTTAGTGCTCTTCCAAGGTGATGGTGAGATTCAAAAGGATGGTAGAAAAGGAGTCACTACTGTTTTTCACGATGGGGCTTAGGCTTGCTTGGCGCAGTAGATCCCATTGGCACCCCTGTCACCGTGGGCGTTTGTTGGCAAAAAGCCGAAGAGGTTGACACTCTTGATGATAACCCTGATAGTTTGGCACTCCGTGCTTACTACATATTGGGATAATGGAAAAGAAAATGGAAACCATAGGGATTAAAGGGGTTATATAGGGGATATACTATAGTAACTTATAGGGAAAATGGAAAATCAAATGGAAACTACTATAAACCATTTGCTACTGCCACCCTTGCAGGCATTCTCCGGTTGGTTCGGCTTCGTGATCCGCATGGCTTCACCGGCTGGCAGCTGGGTTGCGATGGCCCTATATATCCGCTATATAATCCCCATATAATCCCTATATAACCTCTAAATAGTAGTTTCAATTTTCTTTTCCATTACCCCCAATATATCCCCTTGGGGATGGCGAATTGCGGGGTTTTTAAGGCTTGGCTGGGGGCTCCCTGAAAAATCTATGCTGGTAGCGTGCGGGAACCAAGGTCGGGACGCTGGTCTGATGCTTCGAAGGCCGAAGATCCTCCCAAAAGGGCTTGCTCTGACTAGGCCCTTTTGGACGTCAGGGTGCTCTGACTAGGGTTTAGGGTTTAGGGTTTAGGGGAAGTCGGGGTGCAAAACCCATTTGAAGCGAAACCCTCGGTGCCCGAAGCCGTTTGCTTCAAAGGGTATGTGGTTTACGCTTGTGGACTTTGATGCGAGCTATAGTCTTAGCTCCTAGTATTCCCCCATAATATTCCCCGATATAATCCCCCACATACCTCCCTTTAAGGACGGCATAGCATTGCAGGAAGCTAAGGCTCATGTGGACACCTGAGTCGGGCTCCTGGCTTGACACCCTCAAAACCTTTAAACCCCAAACCCTCGAAACCTTCAAGCCTTTTAAACCCTAAACCCTAAATCTTAAACCCTCAATCCTAAACCCTAAAGCCTTAACCTTAAATCCTTAACCCTAAGCCCTAAATCCGAAACCCTCAGCCGTAAACCCTACCTGGAGGCCTGGGATGCTTGCCCGGCCGCAAAGCAGCAGGCGCTGGGAGTTGCGGATATCATCCGTGATGGATGCTATAATCTAAACACTCCAAAGGGGCTTTATAAGGGGATTATGTAGGGGACGCCTAAGGGGTTGATTAAGGGGGATAGCAGGAGTTCAGACAATGGCTAATCCTAGAATCAAGCTCCCCAAATTCGCCCACTAAGAGTCCCACCTGGCAGCGAAGTGTGGTGCAGGTGCATTTCAAGCCCAACGTCACTGGCACGTTCTGGATGTCATATGCAGACTTCTGCTGCTCTGACAGATGTTTGAGGCATGCCTTGTTCTTGACATTTCCATATTGGCTTGAGATGGCCATTGAAGATGCGCAGCGGTGGCATTCATCTTGATTCCTGCACAATGTGGCGCTTTAATCCGCCGCACAAGGCTAGTTTCTTTATGTTCAAATGTGTGGGCGTTACTACAAAGCTTCCACAGTCAACAGCCTCCTTGGTCAAGTTCACCCTGCTGTGTAAAGCTTAGAGGGCTTTTGCCATGACGCAGCAACTCGGTCGTTGATTGTACCTCTTGAGAATGTCCCGTATAAATGCTCAAAGCATGCCCAGCTGCGGGCCCTTCATAAGGTATCATGCCAGGCACATGAGAAGCAGGCATCCCCTGTTGCTGGCAAACATTTTTGTCCGTACCTGAGGCAAGTATTTCGCGCGGCTCGACACCGTGAGGACGTCTCTTGTAGTTTGCTTGGGTCGCCATGAGCCTTTCAGCGGACGCGTATAGCTGAGATAGGGGTCAGTTTCTGGGGTTCCCCATAATCAGGATTATAGTATGGAGAGCGGTCTATGTTAATGTTGGAGCCCTCGCGTTCATGGCAACTCGCAGATCTAAACGGCAAAGGTCCCAAGGCAGAGGGAAGCAGGCCAAAATCAGAGCAGCAACGAGACCAAATTCAACGCTCAACCTTTACAATTCTATAACCCAGCCGGGACCTCATGGATCCAAATATCTGTCCTGAAAGTGCAACCATGATCCTAAGCACGGCCCTGTTCATGCTCCGAAGGAAGCCAATGCCCGCATCCTGGGCAGCATGTAACAGTCTTCTCCTGGTGCTCTGGAAAGCCTGCATGAGTACAGGGTTGCATGCAGCAGGTGGGGTTCCGATGAAGACTGATTAAACGGGCTTTGGCAGGTTCCTGATGTTTGCATGACCTCATGTTATCTGAAAATGACTCAGGTGCAGGGCTGCAAGGAGGCAAAGCTGCATGGCGCCATGCGGGGCCTGCGAAAGATGGGCACGTCCTGAGACCTACAAGTGGAGGTAAGCTGCAGGATCTCGCCTGGGCTTGGGATGTTTAAAGGGGCCAACATTAGGGCGCATTTTTGGCAAGATTTCTTCCGTGTCGGGGGCCTTGGAGTCACTCAAGAGCTTCACAAGAGGTGGCCAAGGCTTTCAGTGGTTAGCTTTTGAAGCTCCCCCGAAGGATCCTGAAGGCCAACCGTGCAAACCCATGTTGTATTTGCCGTTGAAGAATCTGCAGCTGCAGAACCAAGTGCCCATTGACATTCCAGACAGAACTCTTCCTGAAACTTTCTTCGGTTTGCGAGTTAGAGCCTGCATTTGCCTTATCAGAACTTGCACGAACGCATTGATGTGCAGCACTAGTAGATGCAATCCCTTTCTGATTCATGTCGTGAGCTTGGTCTTGACAGGACGGCAAGATGGACCATGAATGCCGAACTGTGAGTGATGCTGAGTCATTTAGTAAGTTTGCATAGCAAATCGACAGGAAACAGTTCTGGCCTGGGGTGGATCATGCACAAGTAGACTACTGGAAGGATGTGCCTTCCATCTAGCCATGATCCCAATCCCTGATCTACCTGGGCCGGAGTCGTCTTTAGCCAATTTTCAAAATCTCACGCAAGTACAAGTCAGCTGAGCTTGCCTTGGGGCAGTCCAGTCAGAAAAGAGGGAACCACTTGGCGGCCAGCATGAAGCTTCATTTGTTCCGGCAGCTGCTTAGACAAGTGGATACTTGCAAAAGAGTACCTGAGGCCTCCAATGCCCCAACATCTCAACGTCTGGCATATGATTGCAGGTTTGTTGCTTTTGCAAGTCTGGACTGTCTGTCGCAATCTCTACGTACCCAACCTGTGCGTTGTACTGGCTTGCGCTGGCGAGGTTCTAGTTACTCTTGTTCCTATGCAGAAGTCCTGTGATGTTGGGCTCACCCCGCTTGCAAGCTTTCCGAAATTGCGTAAATCGACCTGTGTGAAGGGTTGCTGTACAACTCAGCGCGGGAGCCCGAACCTTCTGCAGGAGCAGGAGCTTTTCAATAGGATTTGAGAGCCGGCGCCGCTAACAGGCCTGCCGGTAGCTGCAAAGGCGGCGGAAACAAAGTGCAGTCACCCACGGATATGTATAGCATGAGCCTGCTTCCTTCTGCCAATGGATTTCATAATTATGTGGCCCTGGAAGTGGATCGAGATTGAAAGCTGGTACCCTTTGTTCATGCTTGTTCAGCAAGTTTTGCCGTTGCATATTTTCATTTTAAAATTCATGAACTACATCCGTCGCAGAGGCTGTGCCTGCTTCATTCTTTGCGATCCAGGCCCTCATCTACTGTAGAAGCCTGAGCCTAGCCCCTCAACACCTGCCCCCTAGGGATTACATTGTCCTTATCGGCCCTCATGGGCCTACAGAGATATCTGGCATTCCACAGTGGATGGGCGTTTCCTTAGGCGAAGGATCAGGTTATTTGCCTAATCACTCTGCGATCAATCGCGCTTTTGAACTTTGTGGTTTTGGTTTTTCATTCCTATGTTCCACAACAGGTTGCCAGCATTCTGCATTTTGCGGGTGTAGGGGTTGATTGTTGCTGCGAGTACAGCTGATGCTTTCTAAAACTGTCCCCGCTTGCGGGGCACAAGAATAACCGTAATAAGTTCAGTATGAGCAGTATATGAACAGACCTTATCAGCACCCTTGGTCAAGTCTGTCAGTTGGTTGGGGCAGCGCTAAACCCTAGCACCCTAAAACCTCACCCTAAAAGCACCCAAGCTATATCCTTTTCCAGGCCGCCGGGGTCCGTCCTGGTTGGGCTGTGGACTGGCGGGATGCCGAGTGGTCATACTCAAAAGTGTAGGAAAACAGAATTGTTGAATAGAAAAGAAAGATGGAGGTTTTGTTGTGAAGGGTTTAGGGCTTAGGAATGGCTGTTTAGGCTGAAGGGTTTGGGGCTCAGGTCATACGTGTGAGTTGGTCATGGGGGAATGAGTTACAGGGACTGTTGCAGGGTCATCACGGGAGAGTATCTAGAAACAATGAAGCAATCTGTGTTCGCTTCCGCAACATTGTCGTACTTCCGCCAGAGCTGGATATAAAGGTGATTTTGCGACTGTGTATAGAAAGGTCTTACTGCGGGAGAATCGTGTCGATGTTATGGACCTATCTCTGGTCGGCCTTGAAATTATAACAACATGGAAGGAGGTGTATCATGTGCACTTGGAAATATTGTTTGCAGTGGCAGGTTCTAGCAGGGCTAGTCAGATTTGTTATCAAGTTGGGTACGAGCTTTTATCAAAATCGCTGAAGATATGGCCAGCAATGGGCACTCCCGCATCTGTTAGCAGAGCCCCGGGCAAAAAAAAAACAATGGTCATGGCATTTCTGGAGTGCATAGTGCTGGTTGGTGTGATGGTTTGTGGCTGCATCATGCTGGGCCCACGCAAAAATCAGACTTGCAATGTACGATCTGCACTGTAACTATGATGTGTTGCCTCCAGGCATTTGTCATTGCCCATGTTTTTTGGTTGGCAAATGTTGACGCTGCTACCGACTCGTCTAGTGACACTTGAACTTTTACAAGTTCGCTGCATGAGAGATATGTCACATCCGAGGGAAGGTCTGCGTAGCACATTCCAGCAGTGGTGAGTGTGCATGTTTGTACCACTGTCTGGATGGAATCGCATAATTCTGTTGGCACCTCTTGCAGCCCGGCTCGAATAGAGTAGGCTTGTGCTGCGTATCTTACAGCGTGTTCGCTGTGCAAGAGGGATTGTGGGCGCATTTGGTCTGGGCATGCTCAGTCAGACCCCTTATGCTTGGGTTGTAGAAGCTGATTTGTCCATGAAACTCCCGCCTGTCTCTTGATCTGACGCAAGCAATGTTGAACGATGCTGCTGCTACGACAGAAGCCGAGAATGAGCAGAAGCCTGGAAGCTGCAGCGAAGATGCTAGCGCCAGCAAGCATTCTTTGGCGAAGCCTGCCAAAAAGAGACTGAGCAAGCTGGCTTTGCAGCCGCTTCCTGCAGGCGGAACTGCCTCAAAATCAGCACAGTCGCTCATCTCACGCATGTCTGCGGGAGCTGTTGGGCCTGCGTTGTCTCTTCGCACTTCGCTTTCGGGCTGCCGGGGTGCGGACTTGCACGCGGTGCTTCGCGCCCTCGAAGATAATCAGGACTGATATGTTTGTTTGGTGCTGCTACTATTCAAGGTTGTGCTCGCGCACGTGTTGCATCTCTTACCGTGACAAATTCTACTTCAATGAATTTGAAGATGTTGGCAGGCTTTGATAGCACCATTCTTTGCAGAAATGCCGCAGAAGCACACCTTGCCTGCCCTGGCTGTGGTCTGCGAGGGGAGAGGAAACCTTTTAGCAATCTAGTCACTGAGTATCACCACTCATGATTACGGAGGACATCCACTTCCTGAGCATTGGCTGCAACGCTGCTTTAGCCACTTCTGCTTCCCTGGCCTCACAGTTGGCCGGCGTGCTGCGCCGAGGTTTTATCTGGGCCTGCGACTTTGGGGAGCAGAGTTTGGGGTGTTTGCTGTCCAGGGGCTATAAAAAGAGCTTAGGAAACGCGGGGCAGGGGGCTTAAGCTTGTTCAGAAATGCATGGAACATTGAGATTATATGATCTGTTCTAACAGTATTGAGATGACCATGATGTTTGAGGAGCTTTATTTCCGCGGGAACGTCCTTGACGGCTTCCTGAAGAGCCTTGAGGGCCCCGCTGGCACACCTCTTAGCAATCTGGCGTTTACATTTATCGACAAGGGCTGCGGCATCAACGATCGCCAGGTTGCAAGGCTGAAAAACATGACCCGACAGCGGCGTTTGCTGGACAAGTCCATCTCCTCGACCAAAGTGGATCGAACACACGCTCCTTGGCTCGACATCCCACGCGTGTTCGGGCTTGTAATGCGATCTAAGAATCTTACCAAGTGCTTCTGGCGTCCCTACCAAGAGGGTGAGTTCTGGCGCAGGGCGGGCTTCCATTGCGCTGGCCTGCGGGGATCATCCCAATCCGCAGGTAAGCGAGTGAACCCAGCAATTCAGCGGCTGACCACGGCATTGCACCGAGGAAACCTTGAGGCCTTGGCTTTACAAAAAGCTTTCCCTCCAGGGGAGGAGGGCCACCGACGAAGTCGCCAGCTCCTCGAGGCAGCCCTCCACCGGTCCCTCCCCCCGGCTCCGCTTCCTCGCTGGGTGCTGCCTGGAGAAAAGCCGCAGAAGCGGCATTCAGAGCTCCAACCCTCACTGCAGGAAGGACTCCTCAAACGGAGGCGCACACGAGAGTCGCAAGAGGCAACATTGCCGCAACCAGTGATCATGCTGGATGGCTGAGCTGGTTTCGCTAGTCGACATCCACTCCGTGGGGTGGGCTCACCGTTGGTGTAGGGTTCGGTCTTGCCAGACCTTCTGAAGCAAACTGTGCAAGAAAAGAGCTTGGCTAATGCGAAGCTTCAGGTGATCCCAGGGCATAGTAGAAAACGTATCAAGCCACATCCATGTTCATGACGTCCCCTCACCAAAAGACCCTTGCCTTGGTTATCTGTTCAGGGTTCAGGAGGTTCTTGACAGATGTATGTGCAGAGAGAGCATCCCACAAAGATACTGCAGTCATAGTACCTATCTAGGAGCTCAATTTTGATCGTCTTCTTTCCTGACACTAGTGCCGCAGGATTCAAAATCAATGAGCTTAGCGGAAACTCATAGTGCTCATCAGATTTGTTCTTCATCTATGCTCCTGATTTAGGAAAACCTGCCCAGAACTCTACCTGACACAGCTGAAGCCCGTCAAGCCCATACGACCAAGGCCAGCCACGCTGGCGCTGAATCCCAAGGCCGGCTTTCAGCGCATGGCAGCTTTCGATGTTGCTGCCCATAGAGCCCGTATGAGTTTGCGGGTGATTCACGGATCCGTTTCTGTTGCGTTCCTAGCGGCTAACCCTACGTCGGAAAGAAGTGCTGCGCACATTCAGATCCAGCCATTCCCGACATGCACAGCGCACTTTTTGCAGGAATGAAGTGCATGGCATCCCTTGCTTCATGTAGGTGAAGGGAGCTGATTGCTAGGTAGGTCACCACTGTGCTGTTGGCTGTTGCAGGTGAAGCTTCCTTGCAAGCAGGCAAGATCCGGATCTCTGGCAGTTTTAGCCTGGGAAGTGCAAAGTAGACGACGAAGGGCAGGGAGTGAGCATTATATATCCCCTATATAACCCTATATAATATAGTAGCTTCCATGTTATTTTCCACTATCCCCATAT